CTATGCAAGGAGTACTGCCCAAGCAGGAAATTGTTGCATAATGCTTTATATTACCCCTTCAGTGAAAAGGAAAGCAAAAAACTACCTTTTGTTATTGAAAAGACAAAGAAATGTAGATAAGAAAATGCTTTAATGTCCTCTTTCTCTGGTCTCCAGGAAGTAAAGGATTAGGTCCATTGAATCTGCAGAGAATTTTGACACTTACTGCACTGCAATAAAAATATAAAATTGAGTGAATTTGTTCTTGGATAATACATACATGATTTGGTATAACAAATAGTGATGAGAATACTTGTAAAATAGATCCTGTACATCTGTGCATCACTCTGGCAGATAATGGAGACACAGTGCAGTTCTGGCCAGACTTCAGCTGTATCCAAGTTAAAATGTTTAGAATTTATTTTGAGGAAGGGATATAGTAAATGATAGACCCAGGAAGAATAGAGGCCATAATTAAGTTCACATGTCTGGTTACAAAAAAACAGCAGATATGAAGATTTTTTCAGAATGGTGGGATTTCATTGGCTGTGGTTTCCTGGGTTAGGGGAATTGACTGAGTCTCTGATAGAGGCAACCAATAATGAAAACACAGAACTTGTTGCATGGGGCACAGAGAGGGAACAAGCTTTTAAAGCAATAAAATGGTGTTTGCTCTTTCTCTTGGGCTCCCAAATTACACAAATCCCTTCAATCCTGATGTACATGAAGTAAAGATAGTGGAGTGATAATGCAGAAATTGTGACTGCACCACAAACCACTCACGTATTATTCCACTCAACTTGATTCAGTTCCATTGGGAAGACCAGCCTGTAGTAAATCACTGTCAGCAGTAGCAGCAACAATATTGGAGAAATCTGCCTCTTTATCCTGGGACATCCCATAACAGTCCATGTTCCACGTGCAGTGGAAGTACTGTAGAGACAGCATGCAATCCAATCTCTGTTACCACAGTGGATAATATACATAGGTATGAACTGATCCTCCTAATGGCAGGTTACATCATCTTAAAAGGATGTGACACCTTGAACTCAGCAAGTCCGATGATTTGAAGCTCAGTGTGTTCAGTTTTGGGCCCCTTACAGCACAAAAGACATTGAAGTCCTGGAGCGTGTTCAGAGTTGATGAAGGGTTGAGAGAATTAAGTTTATGAGGAGTGGTTGAGGGACCTGGGGCTGTTTGGCTTGGAGAAAAGGAGACTCAGAGTGATCTCCTTGCTCTCTACAACACCCTGAAAGGAGGTTGTACTGAGTCGGGGGTTGGCCTGTTTTCCCAGGGAACAAGGAAAGGCCGTTTTCCCAAGGACAAGAGGAAACGGCCTCAAGTTGCACCAGAGTAGGTTTAGATTGGATATTAGGAAAAAGCTTCTTCACTGAAAGGGTCTAGATGTGTTGGAATCAAGTGGGGGAATCACCATCCCTGGAAATACTCAGAAAACAAATGGATGAGGCACTTGTGTACATGGCTTACAAGGTTAGTGGTGAACATGGTGGTGCTCTGTTAATGGTTTGCTTTGGTGATCTTAGAGGTTTTTTCCAACCTTAACAATTCTCTTATTCTCTGATGGAGAATATCACCTGTAAGATGCACATTTCAAGTAAACCACAGACTGATTTAACTGATGCTTTCTTATATTACCCAAATCTAGTACTTTTTGCAGATGTTTTGTCATCCTACCTGCAAAGACAGCCTGCAAGGACACTGTGGTGGGCCAGGTAAAAGCAATAGAAGCAGAACCACTCTTAGCAGGGATAAGTGCACAGGGACCAGGGTTAGTAGCCTTGGCACGTGCAGCACCCCAGGGAAGAGGAGAAGTGAACTAACATCTCTGTGGACTCCTGGTATGTTTCTGGGGTGTGTCAGGCAGCAGGAATGTTATGGAAAGAATGGGGATTCTTCACATCAGCAGGGCAGAGTATCTATTCCTTAGAGAATAAATACTCAATTTGTAAGAATTAGTACAGTTACCTGTCATGCTGGATGGTTAGACAGGAAAGCTTCCTTAACAAAAATAAGGCACTGTGTGTCCTCTGTGACCTCTTGATTGCTTTTGCAAACAACCGCTGGAGGCAGTGCTTTGCTGCTGGCACTGAATTTCACAAAATGCATGTTATAAGAGCTTTCCTTTTCAAGATAGCTACAGGCCAGCTTGGTGAAAGCATTTGAAATGTTTGATTAAAACTTCAGAGCAAAAGCTCCATATTCATCCTTTAGTGAGGGAAAGAAGGCAGCACTTTTTAAGATAATACCAGGGAACACTGGTAAATCTCACCAGGAAATGACCAGTAGAGGAGTGTAGGAGTACTGAGGTTCCAGGAGGCTGTCAGTCTGCCCTGTTGGAGCTCATTTTCCTTGTTGCTGTCAGTCATTGTTGCTATCAGAATGTTACACAGACATATTTACCACAACTCAGCATAGCGGATGTCCCTGCAGCAGTTCCCTAGCTCAAGAATAGTTGCTACTTGTTCTGTTTAATTACAGGAGTAAGTAATTCCAGATTTATAATTTGTTTACCAAAAAGTGATTTTCAGGGATCACATTGTGATCAGTTCTGGACAAAACCATGGGGTAGTTGCAATGGGATTTGGCTGAAATGTCCAGAGCAGCGTCTGATCACTGTGGATTGATCCTGTCCTGTAGATATCTGCAGAGATTAGTGTGAGATGCTCTGCTGCCCTGTACTGGCACTGAACACTCAGCACTGATGCAAATCTGGGTGATGGAGGGATTGGTTAAGTAACAGATCGAAAGAGGATCATCAGGGACAGCCAAGCTGCTTAAAAATTGTGTGCTCTTGTGCTGCAAGTACATTCAGACTCTAAAACATGCATGTTAATCCCTGTGGGAAGGGCTTTCTATTTTAGAAAGCACTGTTTTGAGAACGGATGGAGCTGCAAGGGTGCAAGCTATACCTTTAAGTACCTTATGTCTGAGTACTGCAGGGAGGAAGAGTAGAGGGTGGAAAGGGGGAACCACCTTCTAGCACGTGGTATGGGAAGGACCAAGGACAGACTACAGCGTTTCTCACTGTGTTAAACAGATCTTGAAAGCCGGAGAGGGATAGAAAGAGAAGAGTGCCATATCAGAGATGAAAGGGCTGCCCAAGTGGGCATAGCTGACCAGTAGACATTCATTCTTGCCCTGGAAAAATACCAGGTACTGTCTCAGAGAGGAGCATGAAGAGATAATGAGTGAATTAGTTTTGGATAAGGAGTGTGTTTCTGCAGTGAGAGCAACTGCCAGGTAGAATTATAACCTTTCTGCATCCTCCAATTAAGACTGAATATCCTTATGTAAGTTTTAATGTTTAAGGGATAACGTTTCCATGCAGGTAACTATTGTGGCTAAATTAGTGCTGCAGGGAAAATTTGAGTAGATGTACTGTCCTTGTCTTACATGTTCAAGCCTCATTTCTCTCTGTGGCTTGTCTAACAACAGTCACAATTAGCACTGGTTGGTGGTGGTTGTTATCTAAGTTTAGCCTCTTTGCAAGCTTTCCTTTAATACATTTGATGGAATTGCTGTACCACTGATTCTGGTGAGAACTCAGTCCCCCCTGCCTGAGAGGTGCCTCTTTGTCTTCGGCTGTGCTCCCTGCAGCTCACCCCTAATCATGACTAGGTATTTCTGGGGAGGAAGAAACCTGCCTCGGGTAATAAGGTTTCTCCCTTCCTACAAACAGAAGCTCAGAGGGGAAGGGTGGACAAAGATGGGACCACTTATTCTAGTGCTGGGGTGCACAGAGCACGAGAGCTTAGGGTCTGTGCTCTGCGTTTTGGCTGAAAGAATGCAGCCATCTGGCAAACAACTGTGCAGAGCTTCTCTGCACACCCAGCTTCCTGACTTGTGGTCTCCACCAGGAGGGACCAGAACATGAAGGGCAGAGCAGCAGGGTTGCAGTCACAGTCCAGAAAACCTTCTGCACAAGCTAAAATTATTTTATAAGGGAGGACAGGGATAGGGTATGATATAAGGGATATGGTAGGAGGTGAGTGCTTGATAAGCCCTAAGTCCTGCAATTTACTGTCATTCCATCTCTGGGATTGTTCCACACTGCTTCTGTACATCAGCATAGCAAGAGCAGGATTTTTCCTTTAAAAATAAATAAAGCAGGCCTTTGGAGAGCACAGTGTGTCAGACAGAAAGGTATTTGGTATTAGCCAAATCTGTTCTCCAGGGAGGGTGGCCTGACTCTCAGGTCTAGCGTGCTGATATCCGCAGAAGTCCTGGGAACCAGAGTCTGCAACAATGCAACCATGGAGCACAGAGGGTAACTTGGAAAACATCAGCATGCTCTTACTGCTGGTAAAGGAGTGCCATGTCTGGCTTTGCTCCCTGATACAGAGTCCCTTGCAAGTAGTCTCCATGGGAGTCCTGCTGCAGGCTCCTAGGCAGGAGATTGGAGTGGCACTATTCCTTCAAGCAGCAAAAGTAGCTCTTCTCACTTAGCCTCAGGATCCTTCCTAGCTTTTTCCTGGAAGTGCCACTTACCATGCTGAGTCCCCAGGATTTGAGCTTGTCAGGGTGGCTGAAGCTGTATGAAGCCTCCTGTGGGGCTGCTTCTCAAGTCAGCTCTGTGTGGTACCGTGCAAGAGAAAAGCTGAGTTGTGATGTCTGCACAGGAACATTTGCCTTGACTAAGTCCAGGATAAGAGTGGATTTAAGTGCTTTGGTTTATAAATAAACAGTGCTGTGGCCAAGGTAGATTTAAGCAGAGCTGGCAACAGCCCTGCTTGGGAAGGGATCTCTTTACCACATGGCCTGCTGCTGGACTTCCTGTTGCATGCTAATCCCTTAAGCCTGCTTCAGCTCTGTTAATTTTCCTTCTTTCCATTTTTCCCCAATGGGCTGTCTCCGTGGCGCGTGAATGCCAGCGTTCCTAGGCCAAGCTTGTGCCTGCGACTGGGCCAAGCATCCAGGCTGCCTTCTGAGCACCGGGTACCATGTGGCAGGGCCCTAGGGATGGTGGTGCCTGAATGTATCCCATTCTCTCTGTCTTACAGGCTCTGCAGTCTGCGCCTGAAGAAACTCACGGTGCTGAAAGAGCTGGACAAAGAGCTGAGCTCTGTGCTTATCGCTGTGAAGATTCAGGTAGGCTCCTCTCGTTGCTGCTGCCTGATGGCAGCAAGCCAAGCCCATCCTTGTGCCCTCTGTGAAGTGTTGGTCTGCATGTCCCTTGCCTAGTGCCAACCAACCCCTCTGTCTCAGCACACTCAGGGAGATTTTGGCTCTCAGGTGGGAATAATGCCCCAGGGACAGCAGTGAGATACCTGGTGCTGGCTTGTATCAGGAATGAATTTGGTTAGACAGAATTTGGATTTGGTGGGACAGAATCTGTCATGCCTCCCTGCCTGCCTCTGCCAAGGCCCTCCTCTCAAACTGCTGTTTGGAGTTTGTCATCCCACTGTTCCATACCCTTTAAGAGAGGGTCAGTGCTGGATGGTTTCCAGCAGTGTCTTCCACCCAGATCACTCCCTGGGGAGTGAAGGGTGGGAAGGGAAAGGTGCAAGGGATCAATGTCTCTGTGCATAACATTCTGCTGACATTTGTACCCTGTCTGATCTCACAGTTGCCTCTAATATCCCTTCCCTTTCCCTCTGCATTCCTTCTAGGCCTGGTGCCTCTACTGTGAATCAGGCAGAAGGGAGGGGAGAGGATCTTTGTCGCCAAGGGTTCTGGAATTTGCCACCATCCTGATATGTGCAATCCCTCCACCCTCTCTGCAGCTGGTGGTGGAGAGATGGGAGTGCAGGCACATCCTTTCCACCTGCCAAAGGACAGCACAGAAACAAAATGTGTCTTGAGTATGTTGTCCTGGCCACAGCTTCCCTGACCCAGCTAGGGCACTGGTGTCCTTCCTTCGTTCTTGTCAGCTGGCACGAAAGCAGCTGATCCCCTTGAAAGCACCATGGGTCAGCAGCTCAGCAGCTTTGTGCTCCCACAGAGCTCTTTGTGCCGTACACATTAGGATCTAAATCCTGGATTAATGCTGGAAGCTGCAGTATTAGCGGAGCTCTGGGAGGTGGAGTTTGCCTTCATGGCAGACCTGGTTCACTCGCACAGAAGAAACTGAAAGTGAAGTATATGAAAGCTGGGGCAGGGAGTTAGGACAGTAGGAGGAGGCTGTGGTCCATGCACTATTGGTCAGTGTCCCACTTTGGTGGCCTTTCTGTCACTGTGTGTATGGTGTCATTCAGGAGAGCTGAAAGTCCTGGAACCCCTGAGACCTGTGCCCCTTTGGTTTCCTGAGACCTGTTTCCCTTGCTTTAGCAAGGAAACAACCTGAATAGCAGAGAGCTGCCTGGCTGGCCCTTGGAAATGTGGAAGCAATCAAGGCTGGGCCACAGCTGACAGCAGCACAGGACTGGGGGGCTGCTACCTGACTGGGAGGGCTGGGGTGTTCCCTGAGTTCTGTCCTGCACAGTCAGGCCAAGCCAAATGTGCTTCTCTGCACTGGGAACCCTTGGGTACCTGTGCAGCTCCACTTATGCTGGGGCTGACATGTACTGAGTGTGCATGTCCTCAGCTACAGCCCTCACATGCTGCAAATGTGGGACTGTGGAAGTGACTGCACAGTGGGACTCCAGCTCTTTAAAACAGACCACCTCCATCCCTGCCAAAGGCCAATCTTGAACCCTGATGGCAAAAAAAATTAATAGGCCTTAGCCACAGGGCCTCCTTGCTGCAGGCTCCCTTTTCCTGTCAGGGAATGGAGGCTGCATTCAGGGATTTAATTTAAACATTGTCACCTTCCTCTCTGCATGGCCACATAGCTGTGGCTGCATGCTGATGTAGGCTCACTGCAAAGCTAAAGAAAACAAGGAGAATGCTTTTTCCCACATTACTCCATGGCTCAGCATTCCTTGTGGAAGTGGGCTGAGTTTGTGTTCCTCCCCAGGCTGCTTCCACCTGCCTGACCAGCCTTCTTGGCAGGGTTTGGGACTGCTGGAAGGCAGATGGAAGCTGTAGGCAGCTTCAGCACAGCGTGCCTACAGAGTGGCCTCAGATGGATCCATTCCTCCTGCTCCTCTCCTAGGTAACAGATGAGTCACACTAGTAAGAAACTGTTTGAAGGCTTTCCAGTGAACATTCCATCTTTTTGGATGGAAACAGCTGATGCATGTAATTTATAAAGGACCTGCAAATTACCAAGGGGGCAGCTGGGGACTAGAGGAAAGGAGACTTATATTTCCCTCATTTCAGTAGTAGTTCTGTTAGGGTGAGGAAGTTGCTGCTCTGAAGGGCAGGTGGCATGGAGATAAAGCTCTGACCCTGTCTGAACGGGGCTGCCACCCCCAGGGAATAGCTTCTGGAGACAGTCTGCTTAAAAAATGTGCATGACCTAAAGGACAGTGTAAGCCTGTCCAGAACTCCTGATCTCCTTCTCACAGTGCCCTTCTGGTCTTAAAATACAGCTTCTAAGGGTGCCATGTGCTGATACCTGCTCCTTCATCTGAAAATGCCACTGTCAAGGGAAACTTTCTATGTCTACAGAACTTACCCATTTCTCAGAGGTGATTTGAATATATAATGTTTCATGGATTTGAGTAAGATAAAGCCTGAACTACTGTGAAAAAGGGGATTTGCTCTCATTCACTTGAGCGGTTTTTAAACCTTTATCCCTCATTATTTGTTTTAACAGACTGGAGACGTCATAGAGCATTTCCTTCTGTGTGTTGTTCAGCGTGGCACTAAGAGATTTGGATGTGCTGGCTCAGCTCCATAAAGCTGCAGATACCTGCCTTGGTATCGCAACTGATTATGGCACGAAGGGAAACACAGTGTTCCCTCTCGGCAGAGAGACTGTAGTTCACAAACACCCTGTCTTGAGCCATGAATAGAGGAAACAATCAAAGAAAGAAGAAAACAAGCCCCAGCACTCCCAGAACTTTCAGCTCCTGTGGCAGGTGCTGTGGATGCAGATCTTCCTGCATCTGACTGCAGGATACCTCTGGTGACTCAGGTTCAAGCCTTGGTACTGCTGTAGAGGGATGATATTGGCAGTCACTGTGTAGCAAACAAGAGTGTGTGCTATGAAATAGGCCAGGCTAAAAAAGTTGTTTGCCTCTGCCAGGCCTGCTTGCTGCCCCAACCCTGCTCCCTGAAGGAACTTGTTTTGTTTTGGTTTGTCTTTCTTATTATGCAGAGTTTTCTGTTTATGCCTCACTCATGCTTGTTTCTTATCTCTTTGTAACCACTTGTAGTATTTTTTCATTCCTGCCTGAGCAATCCTAGCTAAACCCTAAATTTGTTAATTATATTAATGGGCTGTTCTCTCCCAAAATGCTCCTTCAGCTTGAATTCTGGTTAGTATTTTGCTGTCTGACTAGTCCAGTACTTATATTAGTTCTCTCTCTTTTTCTGGATGTGGTATGCTGTTCTAGTCTCAACCCTCTTATAAACCAGACCAATCAGGACAGATTTAAACTTGAAATTTGGGATTGTACCTTGCAAACCAGACCTGGGCATTATGTACCTGTGTATTGTAGTGAAAGCTTCTGTGTGTTTTCAGTTCTTAGGTAGCAAAAACCTGTGACCACCACTTGTCCCTATTGCTTTTGCCTTCCTTGACACTCTTTGTCATCCACCATTTTCACTGTAGCAGTGTGATATTAAGTTTTTCTGCAGTATTCGTAGGAATACTCAACTGTTCTGCAGAGAAATTGGTCTTGACTGACATTACTCAAGTTACAGAACGGCTGAGATACATCAGGTGCTCAGTGCCATGTCTAGTTGAGGTTGGAATTTCTCAGAGGATGGAGAATCCTCAGTATTTCTGTGTCCTGTCCTTGCACTGTAATAATGAAGTAGCCTTTGTCCCAGTCCTTGCAATGCCGCACGGATGTGCACTGGCATTTCATTGAGGGATTGGATTCACTTCACCTAGGATTGAGGCTGGGCATGTAACTTCCATAGTGGTAAATGACAATAAGGCACAGGACAGCAATGTTTATGAAACCATCACTTCCTGGACACACCACTCAGGATATCCTCACCTTTTCTTTGCCAAAAGTCTTTCCCCAGAAATATCATCTTCAGGAAGAGTAATTGTACTTCTACTTGTGTTTTGATGAAAGAATGAATCTTTGGTGGATAATCTCTCTGCAACAAAGAGCAAATGGTAAATGTGCTAAAGTAAATAGGTACTGTCATTGTGACTGCCTATCATCTGTTGTCAAAGAGTTTAGGAAGGGTCAGTGTGTTCTTGGCCAGGAAGGCTCACAGATGGTGAAGGGGATGAGCTCCACCTCTTCTCTTCCGTTTTAGGAAGACCTTTTGCAGGAAAGTCTTGCTCCTGGCATGGTCTCTGGGAACAGCATTGCAGACAGCTTTTGGGAGGATCTGTGGGTTGTGCCACCCTGCAGCCAAAAGGGTCTGGTGCATGCAGACAGCATTTTTGTACCCCCATGTCATTCAGTGTCTCTATCAGAAACCAAGACATAGAGATCAGGCAGAGTTAAAGCGAAGAGTTGGAGTGGGAACATAATCAGAGTGCCTTTGTTACTGCCCTTCTGCTAAAAACTATTTCTGTATGTAGATAAAGACTGTTGCCTGAGGAAAAGACTGGGAGAGTTTTCTGAGACAAGCTAAGCAAGCAGGGGGACCCCTGTTCTCCTGGATATCCTGACTTGGTCCCAGCAGAGCCATCCTGACAGCTGTACTTAGACAGGGATCTGCACTGGGCCTGTCTGCTTGAGGGAGAGATGTCTCCAGGACCTGTTCCTTTTCTGGTCAGGCAGTGTGTTGGGATCCTTTGCTTTGCCCTGCATGGTTCCCTGTGGTTCCAGGGGTGTACCTCCATAGCATGGGACTGGCACAGCAGGAGCAGAGAGTTAAGCACAGCAAGCTTGTGAAGAGCAGCGACCCTTGGCAGGTGGGCAAAGAGAAGGGACCTCTGGCAGCTCAGGGGATACTGCAGGCTTTTGCAAAGTATTGGTAGGCATGTGAAAGGTGGCTCTGCAAGGTGGAACAGAACAGTCAAGGCATTCTCTCTTTCCCTGTGGACTGTGAACACAGTTGTCTTGTGTGTGCGATGCAGTGGAGTCTGTGGTTGAGCTCAGTGTGTGTGTCTGCCAATCTTGTAGGGTTCAAAGCGAGTCCTGAGGTCAAATGAATACGTCCTCCCGCCTGGGGGCCTGATGGAGACTGAGCTGGAGCTGACCTTCTCACTGCAGGTACCTGGTGCTGCCTGGTCCCCATGGCTCCCTTACCTGGCATTTTTCAGCAAGTACACCCTTAGGGCTAAGTGTGAAAGGCACAGCATCTATGGAGGGGCCTACTGTGCTTGGTTGTTATACTTGCCTGCTGCTCCATTGCTCCAGAGATTGCTTGCTGGGTGGGCATTGGGATTTGGAGGATGATGGATAAGTGCAGGTGGCCTTTGAGGGGCACCTCAAGGCTCAGCAGGTCAGATCCTGCTGTACATCAGCATTGAGGAGTTTTCTACCTGTGCATCATGCTGAGCCTTGCCCTCATGCTGCCATCTTCTGTGTTTCCCTTCCCCAGTACCCACACTTCCTCAAGAGAGATGGCAACAAACTACAGATCATGCTGCAGCGGAGGAAGAGATACAAGAACCGCACCATCCTGGGCTACAAGACCCTGGCAGTGGGAATCATTAACATGGCTGAGGTATAGAGTGCTGGGAACAGGGGGGAGCCCCACATTGCCTTCCTGTGCCAGCACTGGGCAGGGAACAGGGCTGGCAGGCAGAGTCTCATTGCTGTGAGTGTTCTGGCTTGTTGGCTGGCTATAATACAGAGAGGGTATGATCACCTGCTATTGTGTCACCCTATCAGGGAGCTTGTCTGTCTGTCTGTCTAGGTAATGCAGCACCCGACAGATGGTGGTCAGCTCCTGGGCCTCCACAGCAACATGAAGGATGTGAACATTCGAGTGGCTGAAATCAGCATCTACTCTCTGTCCAGTCAGCCCATCGACCATGAGGACGGGAACGTCCCCTCAGGTCCTAAAATCAAAGCATCAGGTGTGTTTAATGCTCAGACCTGCAGGCAAACATTTGGGATATGGGGAACGGAGTGTGTCCCTCAGTACTGCCAGTAATTCCAGTCCTTTCACTGGAGCCATGACAGGCATCATGCTGAGCTGGGGCATTTGCACTGTCTGCTTTCAGATCGCTCCCCAGACATTGATAACGACTCTGAAGATGATGATGACAGCTTCTCCTCAGAGCAGGAAGCCAGTGATGATGCTGTGCAGGGTCAGGTAAGGGAGGCCTGGCAAGATGCCTTGTGTCCTGGTCCTGTTTCTGGGGCAAGAGTGAGGCACTGAGGTTCTTGATCACTCTGAGCCCTCTCATCCCCTTGTAAATATTTGGCATTGTTTCAGAGGGCTGAAAGCCATAATACCTGACAGAAAAAAGAACTCTGACAGCAGTGGGCTGCTGTCAAGTCCATGGTGGGGCAAGGGATGTTGGAGAGCCATAGATCTCATCCATCTGTCTCTGGAGCTGTCTGATCTGCAGCAGAAAATCCCTGCTGAGCCCTCTCCATATTGCACCATGATTTTCTCCCTGTGGTAACAGGTCGAAGACTGCTCATTGTCTGAGGGAAAACAGGGATTTTAGCCAGAAGTAGGTCTGAAAATGGTCAGAGGTGGCAGACCCATCCCAGCCCTGAGATGAGCTGTGTCACTGCTGTTTGCTGTGCTCTTGTTGTGGTGCCTGTACTTGAGGCCATGGAAAGCCTTGTGGTCGTGTGCTGATAAAGCACAAACTGTTCAGGGTTGTTACGATCTGAGGGTAACTGAAGGTTCTTGGGGCAGATTAGAGTGAAGCAACACTGGATGACCAGTGTTTAGAAATACATATCTGTATGGCAAGTTTATTTCAGAACAACCTGGTTGCAACGGAAAGGAGGTATGTAGCCATTTTGGTTATTATTACCTATAGTAATACAACTGTATAAAAATATAGAGTAGATAGTGGAAAGATATCACCACCTGTGGATTCAGACTTGATAGTTAAAAGTCAAAGTGCTAGTTAGTCAAAGTGATGGTCACAGTCTAGATGGAGGAAGCCCCTGAAACAGAGAGTTCAATGGTTAATATACATTCAGGTTTAGGTGGGAATGCCTAGGTACCTCCCCTGGAGAGGGGACTTTTACACTGTCTGATGTAACACTGTGGATCTGGTGCAACACTGTGGATTAGGTGCAGTCCTCAGGTGAAAGGCCTAAGAAATCAGTCTGAGAGGGCTTGGGAGGTGTCTTTGATAGTTTGGCACCTTCTAAGACATGAGAGCTCTCACTTCAGTGTAGTTGAGCCAGTTATGCCCCATCAGAAGAGATGAAGACCTTCATGCCTAAGGGAGGGGGGCATGGGGGAGGAGGTTTTATACCTGAGCCAGTTGTGTAAGGGAGGATATTTGGCCAGATGAAAAGCATTATCCTACACAGCAGGTTGTGCTTCTTGTGGCCTCTTCCTTTCTCTGGCTCAAAACCCAGCTTGTTGCTAAATTAAGGTTGGTTTGTCATGGTCAATCTCTGGTGATGAGTGCTCACCCCTCTGCACCTAGGTTGTTCTTAGGCAGATCAGAGGCTTCTCCACCACACATCCAAAAATTCTCCTCCTCCCCTTTTGGCTTGCTGAGCCTCAGCAGAGCACACCTGCTGCTTTTGCAAATGCCTATTTGTTCAAGTCATTAACCATTAACATTTCAGTCTCTCACAAGGGTCCTCCAGACTCCAGATTACCTGTCTCATCATGCTGGGTTAATACATCAGGGACCCTTGTCCCTGAAGAGTTGTGCATATTGTTAAGGCTAATCCCTGGAAAAAATGGTTTTTTGTGATTCATGTGCTTTGCTCTCTGAGCTAACTCTGGAGAGGGGAAAGCAGGAGAAAAACACACTTCTCTGGAGGGGCCTGGGGACAGAAGGGCTGGGAAAGAAGATCTGAAGGGGGACAGTGCTAAGGAGAAAGAAGGAGCTCCATAGACAGAGATAACAGAAAGGAGAAACAAGACTTTGGGAGCAGAGTGGATCAAAACTTTCAAATGGAGGGAAAATGTGGGTCAGGAAACTTTTAGGAGGTGCTGCTCCATGAACTCAGTTGTTCTAATTTACTGTGACTTTTTGCCTGCAGGATCTATTTGATGAAGAGGATGAGTTGAGGAAAACCAAGAAGGCCAGGAGGAAAATGAGCCGAACCACATCAATGGCCAGAGTAACATCAGCATTTACAACATGATCAAAGGGATGGAAGGGATTCACTTTCTCCCCTCACTTAAGGCAGTGAGGGGTGTTGGGAAGGGGGGATGCTGGCATTGGTGCAGAGCAGGGGAGAGAGCCTTTGGCTCTGTGAAGGAGCAAAACTATTGCCACTAATGAGCTAGTTTGTTTCTCAGAGCTTATCCCAGTTCATGGTCTGTACTGTGTTCAGCCTGGCTTTGTATCAGTGGTGATCTGTGTGCAATAGAGTTTTGACTTGCTGCTGTCATATGGTCCTTTTCCATTCTCGAGGAAGGGGATGGTAGGCACAAGGAAAGCTGAACTATGAGCAGCTCCTCTGCATGTCTGCAGAAGGCAGGAGCTGCTCTGCCAGACCCTTGCTCTCCAAACTTCTCATCGCTGTTGACTTCAAACCTGAAAATCCATGGCCATCTTCTGCCTGAGTTTGTTTCCCATCTTTTCTTGCTCAAAGGCAGTATTGGTCAACCAGGTGGTCTGGAGAGAAAAAGGGTTTAAATTAAGTGCTATTCCAGCCTGTAGCAGAGAAAGTATGAGTCCTTGCATCCTTCCTCATGCCCAGACAGTGGCTTCTTGTGGAGTACAGAGGCAGTCCAAACAACAAATTTAGAGAGAGAGCAATCATAGCTGACCATGGACCTATGGACAGCATATTAGAGAGAATAACCATGGCCTATATCTTAGCTTGGAATGTGGTTTGATAGTTTTGCTGATTTTTTTTTCCCCTTCTTTTGTTTTAGCAACCAAACTTCAAGCAGAAATTTGTGGCTTTGCTGAAGAGGTTCAAAGTGACAGAAGAGGTAAGAAACAGGAAAGCTGTCCCATCTGGCAATGTCTCCTGCAGATGTGTAGGTGTCAGTGTGCAGGTTCCCACTCACTGGGAGCACAAGGCTCATGATCTCAGGGATGTGCCAAAGGTGGTGTGAGACATGACAGAGACAAGGATGTGGCTTTTCCAAAGTGTTCTGCCTCAAGAAGGCAGCTCTGAGACTTGTGCTCAAATCAAAAAGCACCTTCCTGTTGGGGAGAGGTGCCCTGGGAAGAAGAGTGTTGTCATACACTGACTCTGCACCAGGAGCTGGCATTGCAGGGGCAGTCCTGTCCAGTTAGACTGACTGCAGGCTAACATCAGCCTGTGAATGGTTTCTCTTGGCTGACAGCCTAGCCTAAGCGTGCCAGTGGAGGTCTTTTCAGGACCTGAACACAGCCAGTGAAGGTCCTCCCAGGTGTCCTAGCTGCCAGGAAGTGTGATGGGTGTCTAAGACTCCTTTGGATGCTCTTGGCACCCTCCTTTGGCCCAATGACAATGTCACTGGATTCTTCCACAGCCTGGCTTTGCCTCCCTGAGGTGGGAACAGTGCCATGGTGTGCCTCGTGACGAGCAGCTTGTACATACATGCCTGTTGTGGGATGCAGGTAACTCCATGTCTCTTCACTGCTCTCTGGGTTTGGTCCCACAGGTCCTGGACTCTGACCCTGTAGACCAGACCCAGGAGGTGGAAGAAGACCTGGGCTTGCTCTATGACAGCCTGGAAGAGTGCAACAACAGTGACAGTGGCCCAGAGATGGAGGACAATGAGAGTGTGCACAGCACACCCAAGCCCACCCTAAGGTAAGGGTTGCAGGGGGCCCCTGGCCGACAGCACAGCCTATGGGACCTGGAGAAATGTTCTCCAACACCATTCTGTTGCTTGGGCTAATACAGGCATTGTCTTGTCTCCACTCCCATTGCCATCTTCTATTGGCACCCCTGGCTCCTCACTCAAAACTGCCCATTAAATCTGACTTCCTTCACATTTAGTCTACTTTTTCTGCCAGCCCAGCATCTGACACTGATCTGCTGGTAGAGTCCTATTTGATCTAAGCCCTGGCTGCTCCCAGCTCTCATATCTTTCTGCCAACAATCCTGGTGTTCTCTGGGCTCTCCACATTGAAGCATGTCTGGCTTTGGAGCCCTTTGTGATTGCTTGGACCAGACCTTGTGAGATGTGCATGCTGTGTTCCCACTCTGTGTGGAGATGTGACTGGCAACCAGCAGCGCTGTTCCTCACCCCATTCCCCAGGCACTGGTGACTTGCTCTGCCAAGAACTGCTGACATAGCTCAGGAGTCTCCAGTGGATCATGCAGGGAAACCAGGCTTTGCTCCCATGTGATCTGTGCTCACCTGGCTTCTCTGCTCATGGCTCTTGTACTTTTGTGCTGTCTTTTTGTGAAAAAAGCTGTCTTTTATTGCCTTTCAACTTGACTACGTCATAATGCACTGGGTCTCTTGTAATCAAGCCAAGCTCACTTGGCACTGTTGTTTCTATAGATTTTACGTATAAGATCACAGGATCATAGAAACATACATACAAACATACATACATACAAACATACATACAAACATATGTATATATACATACATATACATACATACATATATATATACACACACATATATATATAATTTGGTTGGTATCCCCACTGAAGATACTTAGCAGAAGTAGTAGGCATGGTTAGCCACAGGGAAACTGAAATTAAATATGGATTCTGGAGCCCATGGGCCACTTGGGAAAAAAAAGGAACATGATGGAAATAATGTTTTCCACAAATCAGCAAGTCATTGTGAAAGAGACAGCAGGCACATGGGCAAGCTGCTTAAGTGATCTGCTTGGACTCCAGAAGGAGCTTCACATGGTCTCTCATCAAAGGAGACAAAGTTGCTGTGGGAGAAAAAGGAAGGTATTTCTGTGGTCAGATAGTGGTATATAGACTATGTGAAACTGTAAGAAAAGTCTATTGAAAGTATTTAAATGTAAGACCTCCACCCTGGTTCTGCAAGTGCCTGCTTGCAAACATCTGGTCACTGGAACAGCATTCCAGAGTGAGTGCTGGTTTGGGCTGGTACCGACCATTACAGTCTTCCTGGGGTGTTTGATGGAAGGACAGCCTATTGGCCTCTGAGCTGTTCTTCATCCTGTTCACCATGTGTCCCTGGCTTGGTTTGGTCTCTGGTGCCTGAGTTTCTGGCAATGTAAAGTATATGTCCCTTGAAATCACAAGGGAATACTTCACAGAATTCTGGGGCTGTATTTTTTTGAAGGAGATGGTGGAAGCTGCCTGCCATGGTGTTTCATGTAGACTTTTTGGTTCCCAAGTGCTATGTAGCCTTCTCAGGCGGTAAATTACAGCCCTGCCTGTGAATTTGAGGTGATTCTCGCATTGGATTTCTTGTTATAGAAATCTCTGTGGAGCAAGGGCACTAATGATATGCAGTCCTTAATGGTGGGAAGTGGGTGGCGCCCTGGATTGGGCCAGTGGTGCTGGGAGCTGATACTTTTGATCAGCCAGGGAGACCATGCAGCATCAGTTTGCTCCTGAACTGGGGCAAAACTGGAGCTGGAACTAAGGCTGTTAGGCAGGACCTCAAGTCAGACCTGTTGATTGAAGGTCAAAGGTGAAGGAGTCTCTTTGCCCCATCTCATTAGTGAAGAGGTGAAGGAGATCTTCATAGGTGACTGGGAAAATGGATGGGACAAGGGGGGGCTAAATTAATTTAGAACAGAAGGAGGCTGTGCAGGACTGGGCTTTACCTAAATCTCAGTATGCTGAGATGTGGGCTCAGTCGTGCCAGTAGGAGGAGAGCCTTTAAACTGCAGAACAGGAAATTGCAGAAGAACTCTGTACTTCAGGTGATGTCCTCAAGGGATGAAAGCTTCTGAATTTCAAGCGAGAGAGGGCACAAATAAACACAGCTTTCATGGGGAAGGGGGGAGACAGCCCAACTTAAAAGGAGTGTTGAAAGCCAGAGGAAGTATAATACAATCTAGACACATCCAATGTCTAAAAAAAGGAGGTAATGAAGATACCTCTTTGTGATGCCAGTGGCACCAAGGGTATGGGATTGCTTGTGACAGTATAGAGGAGTATGGAAGAGATTTTGATTGAGGGGTGATTTATTAGAAAATCTACATGTTCTTCTGGTTTGACTCTTACTAGTGTAGTCTGTATAGATGGAATTTCTGGCTGGGAAAAGGCAAGTGTAGGGTAATGACTGTACAGATTGGTGACAATACCTGAGATTTTGTAACAGAGAATGGAGGGGAAGAGAGAGAAGAAATATGTTCGTAAAAGGAGATGTAATTTATACCAGTGTGGCCTGGAGCAAATGTCCCACCAGGTCACTGCTGTGGCTCTGAACCTGAAGCAACTGGCCACAGAGCCAGTGAGGGGAAAATCAAGCCTTGACTTTTCCCAACCAGTATATAAACGCTTCTGCTGAAGAGCTTCTGTGTGGGAACCATCATTTATTTATGGAGGTGGAATGCCCTTTCAGGAGCAGTAAAACCTGAGAAACACTGTTGTGTCTGGCAGTACAGTGTGCTATATACAAATAAGGAAGCATGCTAAAAGAAAAAGAAAAGGAGCAGTCAGGATGTTTAGAAGTCTGGAGGTATCCTGCAGGAAGCATTCTCCTGATGAGAAAAGTAGAAAACAATGGAAAGAAACTCTGATAGAATACTAACAGAACTTCTCTATATCTTATGCCTTAGTTGCCATCCCTGGAAACCTGCAACCTCATAGCCCCATCTGCACAATAGGCACATCAGGAGGAACATTTCCTGGGAGTTAATGAGCATATACAGCTTAGAGAGAATCTAGCTCTGATCTCCTGCAGCAGTCTCACATTGCAGGTGGATTTTGGTTGCTGTAAAGGTCCTGGGAAAACTGGCAAGTGAGATCCAGTGATAGACCCCACTTGTTTCCTAAAGACTGGTTTTTGAGCAGCACACAGGCTGTGAAAGGGGCCCTTGGCAAATAAATAATGTGTAGGAAAAAGGGTAAAGGTGAAAGTTCACACTGTAGTGGCAGAGACTGTCCTGGCTACCCCAATAGAGTTCCTGTGTGACCTGTGGTGACTTGAAAACAGGACCTTGGAGCTACACTATGCAACTCTACCAAAACATCAGCTCAGAGACCGAGAACTCAGCAGATTTAAGTACTGTGCTACCTGAGGTGTGGTTCTGTGTGCAATACTGAAGATTTTCAGAGCCTTGAGAAAGGGGAAGGCAGAAAGGGAAGGTGAATGCTGCAGCTGGGAGTGTATAGCAGTAGCAGGAAAAGGCAAGGAGCAATCCCTGGAAAAAGGGAAGCAGAAGGGAAGGCAGCAGAAGTCTGTGGGAACTATGATGGTGCAGAGGAGGAGAGAGGTTTAGCAGCACACTGGAGTTGCAGTGTTGACAAAGACTGTATACCAGTGAGATGGGGCAAAGTGGCAGCTTCTCACTGCAGTGCAGGGGTAGGGGATCACCTGAGGCAGAAAGCATCAGGAGACCCTTCCTCCAGCTCCCCAAGGTCACAGAGGGCGCTGCTGACAGCTCTGCTGCTCAGCTGTACATCACCCAGACACTTGTCTGGCCCTGTATCCCACTGAGGACCTCTCCACAGAGCTCTGTGCTTTGGACAGGCCAATGGGGGTGTGCTGGGATCATGGTGACTTTGTTCCTCTCTTATTCCTGCCTTTTTCTCTCCCGTCTGTCTGTCTGTCCGTCCGTTCGTCTGTCTGTTTCTCTGCAGGCGTTTCTTTGAGGGAGTCTCTCATTCTGGTTCCCAGACTGAGATCGGCAGTTTGCACAGCCAGAAAGGGCAGGATCAAGAGTCGGGCAGCCCTGTGAGTTACACCACCACCACCACCACCACCTTTTGCCCCTTTCCCTTCCCAGCTAGTCCAGCACCCCCACAGTGCCTGCACTCTGAGACCACAGCTCCTGGCAGCACCTGCCTGGGGCTGCTCCTTTCCTTCTTTCCTCCTCTTTTTCCCAGCACAGGCAGACAGGTAGCGATGGGGGGCATGCTCTGGGGCCGGTCCCAGAGATGCCCGACTCCTCTGTGGGAGCTTGTGTTCTGTGAGGCCAGCCATGGGTCACTGGCAGCTGCCCTGCACAGAGTGCTCCATCCTGCTCTGACCCCACTCCCTGTCCCCCAGGGCGAGGCAGACAATCGGAAGCCAGGAGCACAGCGAACACAGGAAGAGCCAGGAACGGAGGTCCCTGCAGCGGTGAGTCTAGGCTGTGGCATGTGGAGCTCTCTCAAACCCCAGCTTGCTTTCTGGAGTACCAAGGAGGCCCACCAGGCTCGAAGTAGGTCTGGGAAGACAAGTAGATTGTGCTGGAGAACAGCAAGAGTTGAAGGAGTGTTAGTTTCTGCAGGATGTGTAGCCCAGCCCTCCCAAGACCCTGCAGCCTTGGCTCTCCAGGAGGGCCACCAGGCCTCTCCTGGTGATGGACACCCATGGGTGCAGGGCTAAGAGGAGTGTAGAGCAAGGAAAGCAGTGTGTGTGAAATGACTCTGTGTGGCCCTCAGGAGCTGGCAGCAGAGGAGTCGTGTTCCCGGCTGGCCCCGACAGAAGCTGCCATGAGGGAGAGCAGCATGGACAGACTGGCCCAGCTGGGTGCTGGGACCAAAGCCGAGCTCCCCAGTGCCGTATCCCCCAGGTAAGGCAGGTCTGTGCCCTCTCCTAGGGCTGAGCGAGCTCACACTGAGTAGGGGTTGGTGGAGATGAGATTTCCTCAAGTTTTGCCTCTCCTGCTTCACAGCAAGGCAGAGAGCAAGCAGTTGTGGCGTCCCCGCAGCACCTCCGTGAAGGACCGGCAGAGCTCAAAGGGACAGGGTGGCCGTGCCAGCAGCCTGGACAGTGAGAGCTCTCCAGACTCATGGCATAGCACCCAGGTGAGGCCCTTGGGACCCATCCCATTTGGAGGCTGCTCACTCAAGAGCTCTGCCAGGTCATCAGCCTTGGGCAGTGTCCAGGACGGCTGACTTGGGTTAACCTTTGTGGTGATGCTGTCACAGGTGCCTCGAAAGTCTGTTTACGATCAGCTGAACCAGATCCTGGTCTCAGATGAGCAGCTCCCCGAGAGCATTGTGCTGGTGAATGTTGCTGAGTGGCAGGGGCAGGTGAGTAGATGTGATGGGAGCTGGATGCATGTGGGCAGCTGTAAGCAGGGTGGATTCTCCCAGTCATAGCAGGGTGTCCTAGGGAAACTGGCACCAGCTGTGCCCTCCTCTTCGCCAGTGTAGCAATTCCTTCAAGGAGACAATGCATTTACAGGGTGCTGAGCCACATACACAAGAGTCAGGCGTGTCTCCTCTATCACACAGCATCACTGGATCCTCAAAACATGATGTCCTGATCAGTCCCAGAAAGGCTGGCTAGCAGACTGTGTCTTAGGCCCTCACTGCTTGGTCCTGGCTCCCAGGAACCCCATGGGTCAGAGGTTTGTTGGATTCCCTGGAAAAGGGCTCCCTTCCTCTCTGGGCACCAGGCACTGGGAAGCAGCAGAGGTATTTCCCACTGAGAGATGGAAGAGTATCACCTGCCACTCCCAGGGAGCACTAACTACATCATCAGAGCAGGGTGGGGTGTGAGGACAGGCCCAGCCTCCAACAAGCACTTGGCTCTCCCATACCTGGGAGCTCTAAAACTAAAGGTGAGCAAGGAAATGTACATGTGTGCAAACATGCAGTTAGATAAAACACCTGTGAGACCCCTTCAGGATCCTGCAGCTACATGTGGCATCCAGAAATGGCGCTGGAAAATTTTGAGGCAGAAGAAAGGGCTTAGTGAGAGGCCCATGCATTGATTCAGGCCATGCATTCTTGGCTTGTTCCACTTGTCCTGGGTTGGGAAAAAAAGAGTCAATTCCCACTCCCAGAACCAGCCTTCTTGTCTATCTTGACTGCCTGTTTTACCACTGTTGACCTGCATGCAGACACCTGAAGAGATAGAAGGATTTTGGAGTGCCACAGTGGGAGAGAGCAAGAGGAGGGAATGAGCAGAAGCAGAGTGAGCCTAGAGCTGGGCCCTGCTGTGGGATGCAGAATTTAAATCAGAGGGTCCCTGGACTAAGCTGCTTATTTCAGGGAACACAGCTTGGTTCTTGGGACAGGTCTGCCCTTGCCATGGTGAGGGTGGTGACTGCTGTGCTCAAAGGTGAGAGCTGGGGGCTGTCTGACCCTTAGAGCAGAGCTGGGAGGAGTGGGGATGCTCAGGGTGCAGCTGTGAGTGACCTGATGGTTTCAGCCTCCCTGCATGGCACGGGTGGGGACAGGTGTCACAGCTCTAACCCGGGGGGCATGGGACCTAGGGCAGACATGGACTGGTGCTGGCCAGCACAGCCATGCCTCCAGGGTGCCTTAACCTGAGCTCTCTGCATTGGCAGTACGTCAGCGAGCAGCTCCAGGCGCACAAGCAGTTGGTTGTATCCACCTGCTCCGTGGCAGACATCCAGGCAGCCTTCAACACCACTGTCTCCCGCATCCAGCGATAGTGAGTACAGCTTGGGCTCAGGCCTAGTGGCACTGGATGGATTCAGAGGAGGGCTGGGTATGGCCCTGGCTCCCCAGGGTTCATTAGGACTCTTTGGGGTTGTGGACACGACCATAGAAACAGGTGTACACCCTGGGGAGAGTGGGGGGCTCCCAGTACTGCTTTTGCCCATGGCAGCGGACACCAAGCTGGATATTCTCAGCAAGGGGTTTTTGTCAGCTGGCCTGGCAGATGTCCCCTGGCCCACTGCTGATCCACTGCACATCCCTCCCTCACTGTCTCCTTTTCCTCTCCCTTTGGCAGCTGTAACTGTAACTCCCATATGCCTCCCCCGGTGAAGGTGGTGGTGGCAGGGGACCAGAGCTACCTGAGTGTTGTCCTCCGTTTCTTTGTGGAGCAACTGGCCAGCAAGACACCTGACTGGCTCAACTACCTTCGCTTCCTGCTTGTACCACTGGGTGAGAGCCATCAGGAGCCCAGCCCCAGGACTGTCCTCTCATCTCCCCAGACTCCCCTGCCTGAAGTCAACATGGCCCTTCTCTCCTGCAGGCTCTCACCCTCTGGCCAAGTACCTAGCCTCAGTGGATAACAAATACAGCACTCTCTTCCTGGACTCAGCATGGCGGGAGCTGTTCAGCAGGGCTGAGCCACCCACCGCAGGTGAGGAGCGGGCCAGGCTGGCATCAGCAGTGCCCTGAGGGGGAGCCCAGCTGCCATCGAGGTCTCCATGGCTCTTTGTGCCTGCAGACACTGTGGACATAGCAGGCCGTGTTGCCCAGTTCATCGCTGGAGCCAGCCTCTCTCACCAGCTCCCCATCTCTGAGGCCATGCTGACCTACAAGCAGAAGAGGTGAGTGTGGCCCCAGGGTGCCTGTCCTCCCTCATGCGGCCCCAGTCTGGGACGTGCCCAGGACAGGAATGAGGGACATGGGACAAGTGAGTGCGTTCCACTGACAAGCAGCGTGGTGCTGAGGGGAGCTGGGGTCCCACAGTGAGAGGCCCTCAGCACCATTCCCTGCCACCTCCCGGTGTACTTGGCCCCTCCAGTAGCTGTGGCTGTGACAGCCCTAATGGTGGGGACCAGCTGCCAGGGCTGGGATGGGCTGGGTGGGGCTGCAAGCTGGTACTGTGCTGTCCTGGGGTTGATGCTCATGTTCCAGCTGCACTCTCACCTCTCCCTTCTCTTGGTTTCTGGCACCCAAGGAAGAGAAGTCTCTATTTTGATTTTTATATCAGGTATTGGCTTGTGCTTGCTGTGCCGCTGCCTGGCCCCTCCCTGCCTTTCCCCATGTTCGTCCATCCCTCTTGCTGTGCAGAGGAGCCGTGACCCCACAGAGGGGCAGGGCTGCCCTCCCGCATGCAAGCCCTTTCCCAGCACTGGAGGGGACAACTCCTTGCCTCCTTGTGTAGTGTGCCCTGCGCTGCCATGTTGGGGACAGGGGGTCTCATGGGAGGGAGGGCAGAGGAGATGGTCTAGAGGGTGTGAGCCAGCATTGACCCCTGTGAGTGCAGGGCTGCCTAGACACAAGGCTAGTGGTCACATGGCAATCGGTGCTCAGCACACCCAGACCCTGACCAGCCTCTTTTCCTTCTGCAGCCCCGATGAGGACTCCTGCCAGAAGTTTGTCCCCTTTGTGGGGGTGAGTTGAGGGGCCAGCAGGGGCTGAGGGGAGAGGTGCAGTGCCCAGTCCTGCTAATGCTGGGTATCCTCTGGTTTGTCCTTGCAGGTGGTAAAGGTGGGCCTGGTGGAGCAGTCTTTCAGTGCCTCCGGTGAGTCCCTGGGAATGCCCAGCTCTCTTCTCCACAGGTGGGAGGCTCTTGTTAGTGTCCCACAAACCCTCAAACCCACACTTTTCCTCCACAGTGGACTCGGATGATGCCACAGTCTGCACCCCCTCCCTGCTGAGCTCAGCACCAGCCTCCAGTGCAGCTGTTCCCTATGGCAAGGAGACTGTGAGCACCCCGCCACCCTCTCCGTCCGTCAGCAGCGGCCTCTCGGGTGCTGGGTAAGAAAACAAGGCCCCCCTCAGCCTGAAGCAGTGGGGGGAGAGGAGCAAGGGTACCACCTGTGTGCTGCATGTGCTGCCCATGTTGCCCAGGTCTCTGAGCCCTGGTGTGGAGGTGATGGGCCTGCAGGTGGACTACTGGACAACACAAGGGCTGGACAGGAAAAAGGAGGGTGAGAAGCGGGAGACGGGTATCAAGAACACTCTCAAGAGCAACTTCCGCTCACTCCAGGTCAGCCGCATCCCCAGCACGGGGGAGCTGGTGCCCCCCAGCACCATGGCCATGACCGTGGTCACCAAGGAGAAAAACAAGAAAGGTAAGCAAGCCCACTGTGGGGTGCTCTCTGCCTGTGGGGCCACAGTCCTTTGTGAAAAAAGTGCAGGGGATCCTGCAGGAAGGCAGGGCTGAGATGCGGCCCAGCAGGGATCAGTCAATGCACTGGGGTAGGGGCTCCTGTTTAGGGCCAGGTGGGGACATCCTAACATTGGTCCTGTCTGGCCTTGGCCCCCAGTGATGTTCCTGAGCAAGAAACCAAAAGAAAAAGACTTGGAACCCAAAAGCCAAGTCATTGAAGGGATCACACGCCTCATCTGCACAGCCAAGCACCAGAACACGATGTTGCGAGGTGAGGGCAGGTACCATCCCCTTGGGGCTGTAGTGGGGCAGACCAGGCAGCACAGGCTGGCTGTGGTAGGGCTGTGCCTCACTGCACCCTCTCCTCTCAGTCTCCATAGATGGGGTGGAGTGGAACGATGTGAAGTTTTTCCAGCTGGCAGCACAGTGGCCAACACACGTCAAGTATCTCCCTGTGGGCATCTTCGGCTACTCAAAGAGTGTGTGAGACATTGGGGCATCCCTGGAATGGAGCTGCAGTGGGTTGCAGGAGGAGACAGGGAGATGGATATGCTCTCTTGTCCCCATCTTCTGCAGACCAGTCCCTGCCTGCTCAGTGGGGGGGGATACCACACCTGCATTCTGTGGGCCAAGACCCGTGAAGGTGAGGCCAGTGAGACCGGGTCCATGCACCCTCCAACACCAGCCAGGACACCATGCCATCTGCCTCCTGTGTCCCCCAACAGCAGCCTGGGACAAGGGTTGGCACCAGCAGAGCCCCAGGAAGGGCTCTGGGCCCCACTCTCCGCAGATGCACCTGCCAGGCCAGCCCTGTAGCCAGCCAGGGTCCCAGCTGGGCTGGGCCCAGGCAGGTTCCCCAGTGCTGCAGCCAGCCAGATTGCTCTGTGCAGGGGGCAGGTGCTGAGCAGGGCCCACCACCCCTGTACCACCCTTGCCAGCCCCACTGCCAGCCTTGCACTACTGTGCTGGCCCTGCCCTCCACAGCACAGCCTCAGCAGTTTTTTCAGTACCCCTGCAGCCCTGCTGTTGAGGCTGCCTCTTCATCTCCCCATCCCTTCCCAACCAGCCCTACCCCATGGTGCTGCCAGCTGGATGTGCGGGATGAGGGCACCTGAGTTTTTTTTTTTACAAGATTCTATTTTTTTTAAATTTATTGTATGGTTACTTTTTGGGATTAATTTTAATAAATTAATGCTGTTACCATTATGGCAGGGTATGTGTGTGTGTGTGTGCCCCCATGTCTGAGGGCATGACTCAGCACAGCTGGGAGAGAAAAAATTTGGGCAGGGTGCAGCCTGGCCAGACTCCCAGCCATGGACCAGCTGAGCTCCCTGACAGACTGCAAGGTGGGACCAGGTGGAGCTTGGCTCATTTATTTATATAAAACTCACAAGTGTTTAGGAAGAGACAGACTGGATTCAGCCTGAGTCCTCCCAGCCAAATCCTCATCTACCTGAATGTGGAAAAAGTCTGTCTCCTTTCAGCAGAGGCCAGGTTTACTGCTGTCTTAATCTCTACAGTCTGGAAGGCAACCTGTGGCTGGACCTGAGAAGTGGGGAGCGTTGTGGCTTCAGCAGAGATGTATTCCAAGACATGAGGCCTCCCCTCCTGGCGCCGGAGATAGCCCTGGTTCAGCAGGTGCCTGTGGCAGCAGAAGCTCAGGAACTGCACCCCTGGCCCCAACTCGCCCTTCTGACAGGCATCGATCACCTGCAGCAGCAAGGGAGCCCCACTGCAGTGGCTGCAGCCCCCGTGCAGCCCCTGTGCCCTCTCTGCTCCCCTCCCTTACCCTGAACACCAGGTTGTCGATGTGCAGCTGCTTCTCCAGCTTGAGGATGCGGGTGATGAGGCAGCACAGGACGTTCCTCTTCCTTTCCAGGGCGCTCACCTCGGCCCTCTCTGTCCGCAGGTACCTCTGCTGGGGCAGCAGCCTCAGCTGGCGGCCAGAGCTCTGGGCCAGGGCTGCCTGGTTCAGCCGCAGTGCACCTGGAGCCAGCACCCAACCCGGGCTCAGCCAAGCCTCGAGCTGGGCCTGAAGGAGCCCCAGGACACAACGTGTGGCTGGGGGACCCAAGCTGGGCCCCCTATGGCTGCCTGCACCCCTGGNCCTACGCTGGCCTCAGGCCCCACCCTGACACACACCTGTGCCCCGAGCACAACACATGGACCCAGCCCCTCATCAGCCCTACCAGCTCGTGCACCCCTAAGCCCAGCACCCCCTCGGGGTTCAGGCCAGCCCCTCCCCTGGCTCCCCAGCCCCACACTCACCCCCCAGAGTGCAGCTCCCCACCAGGACACCCTGGCTGTGGGTCAGTGGTGTCAGAGCATGGTACACCAGGTCAGCAGGGAGCCCTGTAGCCTGCAGCAGGGCCTCCACAGCCACCTCCTGCAGCACGGGGTGGGAGGGCAATGGCCAAGATTCAGTGGCCACAGGCCCTGCCTAAGAACAGGGTCCCGTGCCCCAGACACCACTGGAGACCCCACCAGAAGGGAAGGGAGGACACGGCCCTGCAAGTTCCAGCCTCCACTGCCTCCCTGGCCCCACCGTGGCTCCAGCCCCTACCTGGGCGCTGTTGAAGCACAGCAGGATGTACATCTGTAGTGTGGACACGTGCAGAAGGCAGTCTCCAAACTGCAGCTCGGCGTGGCCCAGCCACGTCCACTGCAGCCGACGGGGCTTGGTGCACTCCCAGCCCAGCTGGCTCTGGCCTGCCAGGGACAGTGTCAGTGCCAGGGACGGGAACCAGCCCTGCCAGGCACTCCCAGCCCACCAGCACTTGTGGCTGAGCTGCCCTGGAGGCTCTGGGCACACCTCGGGCCACAGCACTCACTCTGCCGGCAGAAGTCAGCAAACTCATCCAGTGGGGAGCTCAGCTCCGCCGGGAAAAACCTCGCAGGGTTATCCATGTAACAGAGCGGGGAAACGGGCCAGCAGCGCGGGGACAGGGCCAGCACCTTCACCTCTGGCACATCTGCCACTGAGGCTCTTCCCAGCACCTGGGCACGGCACGAGGGCAGCTCAAGTCGGGCTCCAGGATCCCCGTGAGGATCTGGCCTCCCCACGGCACCATCCCTCTCACCTCGCCCAGGCCCGTGTCCAGCTCCAGCAGCCGCTTATCCTGCTCCTGCAGCTGGAAGAGGCAGAACTGCCGCTGGAGCTCCTCCGACTGGGCCAAGTTGCTCAGCATATCTTGGGGAAAGCGGCTGGGGAAGCACAGCCCCATCTGCTCCACGATGCCTCCTTCCAGCCAAGATGGCCCTTGCGTCAGGAGCCGGTCCCCCAGGTAGAGCCTGCCATGGCCACCAGCTTCAGTCAGGGCTGGGCCCGAGCCTGGCCTCATCCCACAGCGCATGGGCTCGGCGGCACACACCTCTCCCCTCCCTGTCCCCAGCAGGAAATGTGAGTCCACAGATTGGCAGCACCCATGGACACTCCACAGCTCAGGAAAAGCAAAGCAGGAGCGCCACTGCTACACCAGGCCAGGCTCCCCCAGCACACCAGGCCCGCTGCACTGGGTTCTGGGGAGACACAGCAGCCTCACCTGTAGAAGTGTTCAAAGCTGTGGGCAAGCTCCAGGCCACTGAAGACAACAAAGGGCTCCAAGAACTGCTGCAGCCGCTCCAGAGGCCCCGTGCTGCCTGCAGCCCTGCGGAGCTCCTGGATCTGCACGTCAAGGTAGCGGGCAAACTGCTCACTCACCTGCAAGGGACAGGGCTGGCTGCACACACAGGACTCACCAGGTGCCCACAGGGCCGGGCAATGTCCCTGTGGGGATCAGCCGGGAAACTCTGGCACTCCCGGGCAGGGGCCGAGGGTGCCCAAGGACCAGCCCAAGGCAGGAGTGCACCAGGGCCGGGCCCACGCTGGGATGAGCACCACACATCTGAGCTGGGCACCCTCCAGGCTGCCAGGGCAGGCCTCTGTGGCTCGGGGGGAGCAGGGCATCACCCACCCAGAGCTTGCCCCAGTGCCGTGGGCTGGGGCAGCTCCCCAGCCCGTGCCCAGGGCCACCGCACCGGGGCCGCGCTCTCTTGACTCACGTGCAGGGCAGTCAGGAAGGAGAGCTGCAGCAAAGCCCCTGCAAAGCCCTGGCCCAGGGCCAGCACAAAGGCGGCCTGCTGCCCAAAGAGCTCCTCTGTGGCCCCGCGCAGGCGCTGGTACAGCCGGCAGTATCGCTCCGCAAGGTCCGGCGCCTGCCCCGCCGCCTCCAGGAACTGCTGCACCTGCGGGAGCAGCGCGAGGGCTGAGCCCGCAGCAGGACTGGCCCCTCGGAACATCCCCAGCCCTGCCCTGCCAGCACCAGCTGCCTGGCTCCCTGGGGCTCGGGGCTGCCAAGGTGGGAGCACAGCTGCCAGGGCTGGGCAGGGGCTGTGGGGGCACTCTGGGGACCCAGCAGCAGCCCAGCAGGAAATAACAGCCCGACACTGGGCCTGGCTCCTGGTCTGCAGCATTGGCCTGGGCACAGGGCCTGGCTGAAGCCTGAGCTGTGCCAGGGTGGCAAGCACAGCAGGGCTGTCCCCACATTGCTCCAGGCTCTGTGGAGGCCAGGTACAGCCCTGTGCTCTCCCCATGCTCCCAGGCCACTGCCAGACCCCACTCCCTGCTCCAACCAGCCAGGGAAAGTCCCACACCCCTCCCAGTCGGCCCTCCAAGCTCTACCTGCTGCTGCACCACGCCACGCCAGCACTGTGAGATTCCCCACAGGCCTCTCGACTTCTCCACCACGGCCTTTGCAGTCCTGGCCAGCACCTCCTTGTTCTTCCCCTCCTTCCCACCTGCCAAGGGTCAGCCTCAGGCTCAGCGTGGCTCCATGGGCAGGCCCCGCACACTGACCTGCCACAGCAGGGCTGAGGGGCTGCTGGGGAGGCACGGCCACTGCTGGGGCATGACCACAAGCCTTCCCCGGCTCAGGAGCCTCTGTGCCATAGGACACTCCTCAGAGGAGCCCCACGGCCACAGCCTGGCACTCTGGAGCAGCGCCCGCCCAGCCCCACGGCAGGGCAGCCCCTGGCTCACCAGCTGCTCTGCTCTCCTCTGCCTCGGGGCCTCCGGGGTCCACGTGCACCAGGAGCTGGGTCAGGCGCCGCACGCAGGATCCAAAGGTAGCTCTGTGTCCCGTGGCACGGCGGGGCAGCTCCACGCTCTCCAGGTACTCACTCAGCAGCCAGGCCAGGGGACTGACACCATCAGGGTCTGCGAGGCCAACCAGACTCAGAGCCAGGTGCCACTACCCGGGACACGGCACACGTGGGTCCCGGAGGTCACAGGGTACCTGGGCTGGTGATGCTCTGCACCAAGGGGTTCACCAGGGCCTCCCAGAACGTCCTGCCCAGTGCCCGGGCTGCCTCGTCGTCAGGAAGGAATCGGTTGGCAAAGCCCTGCTCGTGCTGCAGCGCCCGGTTCAGTCTGCAACAGCGACCGGGCAGCACTCGGTGCCAAGGGCTGGAGAACTCCCATGGGAAAGCAGAGCGCAGTGGTGGCTCCCTGCTCTGGCCCTTGCCAAGGCACGATGGCTCACTGGCCCCACTAGCCCCCAGGAAGGACCCCTTGCTGTCTTTGGGACCTGCCCCAAATGGCTCTTGGGGCCCCCGCAGCCCCTGCCAGATGGGGGCTGTGCAGTGCCTGTGGCCACGAGATCCTGCTGTGCCTGGCCAACCTCTGTTGTTGTGCCAGCCCCTGTGGGGACCAGCATCCTGCTCTGGGGAGTTAGTCCAGCTTAAACCCAGGGGACCCCAAGGTGGCCCTGGCCAGGAAGGACCACTGGTGGCCAGGAAGGAGCCAGGGCCCCTCCCACCCAGATGGCACATCCAGCTGCTCCTTTCCCAGCCCTGCAGTCCCCTCACGGGCTGCCAGCCATGTCCTGGGACACCAGGGACACGATGGCACAGCCAGGACACAGCTCACCTGCCAAAGAGCTGCAGCAGCTGTCCCCGGTCTCGGCAGATCTCCTGGCTCCAGGCCTGAGCCCGAGCAGTGCAGGAAAGGAACGTCCGCCGGCACAGCTGCTCC